TTTAGATTGTAGATAGCGGGGGGCGCCGGCAGCAGCGTGGCCTGGTTGTTTACAGACCGGGCCCCTTGAGATTGTTTACAGACCGGGCCCCTTGAGATGAAGCTGTGTTGAAGGCTGCATGGCCGGCGTGCTTTGGTTTTTTCCACCTGCCCCTGTGCATTTTGAGTCCGGGCTGCTCTGTATCCCATGGCGCAGGACTGCAAGTCCAAGACGCCGGCACCAGGAAAGCTCAAGGAATTCCAGCAGTACCTGAACAGCGAGGGTGGGGCACGCCAGGACGTGCAGCAGCTGCAGGCAGAGGTGCATGCCTTCTCCAGCAGCTTCGCCATGCCGGGGTAAGTGGATTGCCAAGTCATCAGGATGTTGTTCCCAGAAGGGACGGGCTGGCAAGCTCTTGTGGACGCCTGTGTCAATCCTGCCTTGCATAGCTGCTGAGCTCTTGTTGCCTGCAATTGTTCCCTGCAGCGGCGACTGGTGAGCTACGCGCCAACAACTTCCCCGCTCTTGTTGCCCTCAGTATCTCTTCCGACTTCTTTAGGCCCACTGAATTAATATGGGATGGTAACATATGGGCTGGCATAGCAATTGCAATGGAGTGCTGCCCGTGCAAGCGCGCATTGCGGGCGGCGAGAGCGGTACAGCGGTGCAGGAATGGCGGTGCAGGAATGGCGCTGTCGCGCCTGCACGCGCTTTGCTTGTGCTTTTCTTCTCGTTGGCCGCCGCTCAGGCGGGGCCGAGAGCTTAAAAAGAGACTAGCCACACCAAATTTCCAGGTCCAGGACATTGCTATGCGATGCGCTGGAGGAACGTAGTGCATCAGCCCGGAAACATGCGCTCAGCCGGGCGCCTGGTGCTGCACGCGGGACGAGGCGCCGCCTTTCAGGTTAGGAGTTTGCCGAGCGCTCGGGTCCATGCAGGGAGATTGGTGACCTGGAAACTGAAATCCAACTTCACGGCTCTCGGCCAATATTGTTGGTACCACACCACTTGCTGCAGGCCGCTGCTTCACGCCGGCATATTGCCACACATACTCCTTCTGCACAGCTGGGAGCGATCTCCCAGCTTGGAAAACTGCATCGGAGCATCGAATTTGAAGCTCAGCAACATTACTGCAATTACCAGGGCAGTACCCCTTTCAATGTGTTCATCGTGAGTTGACGTTGGCTCCCGCTCCTGTTTCTGCACCTGATTGTTTTCTCATTTGCTTTGCTCTTGACAGGGTGTACAGTCCAATGTTGACAAGAGTATTGAGTGACTCTGCCCTGCAGGCCGCCAACTTATTGTCCTTGAAGCGGAGTGGCCATGTACCCTCCTCTGCGCCCATCGATGCGCTGTTGCAACAGGCAAGCAGCTATGGCGACCTACCGCGAGAGCAGCGCGAGCAGTTTTGCGATCACATAAAGCAGCTGTTGACTAGCTTGCAAGCTTCTACTGGCATCGTACCTGGCACAGAAGCTACCGTCCGCAGTACCGATGTTGCCTCCTATACATTGAGTAGGCAAGTCCTAGTGGCATGGCACCACCAATCGTTGGTTTCCTATGCATGTACAACCTTGCTCCAGATTGGTCGGTCCGCATGAGCCCTGGTACTTGCGCCCCCTTTGCTGCAGAACGGCTGCCCGCTTCACTCGCCATGCAAGGAATACAGCACACGACCAGTGCAGTGCTTCTTTCGGGCAAGATGCACTGAGTGCAGCAGTTGATGGCGGGTTGCCTTGGGCGCGTCAAGAGCAAGGCGCAGCACTGCCAGCCTTACCTCAAGGGCCCGTGCCTAGCGCACAGCATGGTGCATCGCTGCCAGCCTCGACTCAGCACAGTGACCATGGACTTAAACTAGGCTTGGCCCTGCCTTGTCCGGCATCCACCGCAAAGCAGGCAGGTCCTGTAGCTGCAGCCCTGAACGCGAGACTAGAAGGCGTGGGCTATCCTAGCCAAGCCCTTGTACCAAAAGTAGCAACAAAAGTAGGCGCCGTGCCAGACATGGAGGAATGGGACCTCACTTTGGAGCAGCAGGCGCAGCAGCCATTCCATCCCCCTGATCCAACAACCTTGCTGCGGCCAGTGCCCGTAGCCTTTGACCTGGAGACCTCGGGTGAGCCTCATGGGTGGTACTGGGCAAGTGGGACGTGGGGGTGCCGTGCTGGCCGCAGCAAGCCACACATGCTTGCCCCGCCGAGATGCATGGGTACAGTGCAGAGTTCATGCCGACTGATGTGGCCACATTGCTCCTGTAGCATGTGTCCACTTGCTGTGCTTTGCCCCCATCAGGCTTGGGCAAAAAGGCCTGCATTACGGAATTTGGAGCGGTGGGCGCTGGCGGCACCGCAACGTTCCACGAGTATGTTTGCCTGCCCCCTGGTGTGGTGATGGACCCAGAGGCTACCAAAACTACGGGCCTGACAGCGGAGTTTCTGGCGGAGAATGGCAGACCCTTTGAGGAGGCCTACCCCCGCTTCGTCAGTTTCCTGCGGCAACAGGTTGAGGCAGCTGGGGCTGGAGCGTACCTTGTTCTAATTGGACACAACATCAAAGGCGAGGACGCCGCCGCTGTCTGCTGTTGCAGCTGCGTTGGGCCCCAAGTTTGGGTATGGTCATTGCTCCCATTTGGCTGTCTTGCTGCAGCATTTGATTTCCCTAAGCTGCATCGTCAAGCCAACTCCACTGGCCTACCACTACTGCGCCATGCTCGCTTCCTTGACACATCAAGTCTTGCGCGGGTAGTGTTCCCCAGCCCGGGGGAGCCAGGCCAGCCGAAGGATCGAAAGCTGGAAACCCTGTACACCTTCTTTTCTGGCGAGCGGCCAGATGTGAGCCATCGGGCGGTGGAGGATTGCAGAAGCAACCTGCTGGTGCTGCAGCACCTATTGCGCGATCTGCTCCAGCTGCCAGGTAGGTGGACGGGGTGATGAAGGGCTCTTCGCGTCCTGCGTCCAGAAGCGCGGCATCGGAGCCTCATTGCATCACTCTGCATGCTGTGTTTTTGTGACGGGCTCCATGCAGTTGGCGACATTGAGTCAGACGTGCACGCTGCTGTCTGGCAAGCAGACGCTGTGTGGTGTGGCTGGGCCGGCAGTGTTGGTGTCAAGGCCACAACGCCGGCGAAGCGGCGCAAGCCTGTGAGCCCTTTCAGCCAGGGTATCAGCAGCGTAAGCCTGGTGGACACTCTTGCAGCAGATGCGGTCGAAGCAGTGGAGGAGGTGCAGCGGGAACTCGATGTGGCAGACCCGGTGCTGGAGGCGGAGCTGGAGGTCAGCAGCGACGCCGCGGCCAGGCAAGAGCCCGCCCCGTTGCATTGCAATAGCTGTCAATAGCTGTGTCAGCGCTTCTGTTCTCGCTAATTAATCTCATCAAGTTTCTTTTCGACTAGGTTTCTTTCCGACCTGGTTTCCCGCTCCCTGTCATCTGTAGGCGGGCCCACCTTGAGACGGTGAAGCGAGGATATCTGGCTTTGCAGCAGGAACCCCGATCCACCCTTCTTACCACTCCCATCGACAAGCTGAAGCGCCATGGGGGATTCACCACCAGGCAGCGAGAGTAAGCCTGGGCAGCCCAGTGGTATGGGGGCCTGCAATTCGGGCGTCTTGTGTTTGCAGCCCTCTCAACATTGCTTTGACCTCTTTCCTGCTTCAGGCAGCTGCAGTCTGTGGGCGTCGGCACCCTTGGGCAGCTGTTGGACTGCTATCCGAGCCGCCTACTCACCTCTGAACCGGGCAGGCTTCCCGAGGAGAGTGATGAAGACCCTGTAGTCACGCTGGCTGCCCGCTGCATCAAGGGCCCGGTGAGGGTGGTGGCAAGCGTTGCCAGCCAGTTATAAATAACTTCACCCAGCAACCCCGCTGGCTCGACTCGCCTTTGTCCCTCCCTGCGCAGTATCTTAAATCGACAAGTAATGGCTCCTTCCTTAGTGCTATGTACAAGGTTGTGCATCCTGCCCAAGCGTGCTTTGATGTGCCCTGGCTACCAGAGAATGCTTATGATGGCAGAGAGTGCCTGCTAGAGGTGTTTGAGTTTAGGAGAGGGTCACCATGGGCCTTGAAGAAGAGGCAACAGGAGCTTGGGTCGGTTGGGGACGTCGTGGTCCTGTCGGGTCCTGTCAAACTCCAACCCATTGAAAAGTTTGCACGTCCAGGTCAGTTGGGGCAAGCCCAGCCAGTGATGTGATGGTAGCAATTGGTGAATCTCGTTGTGGCTCAATTGCGCCAACACTGATGGCATCCTCCCGCTTGCTGCAGACACCTGGCGCTTGGTCGGAGGCTGGAACGTTCTGAAGCTGGATGATTCACACCAGGAGTTCTGCCAGCCTCAGAGCAGCATGCGGCTGGAGGTGATGCACCCCATTAAGGGCGACATAATGTCCAAGACCATGGCCGCACTGGTTGAGAAGGCGCTAAAGTTTGCAGAGGTGAGTGTTGCTCTAATAGTATGCTCATCAGCATATTCCACATATTTTTCCAGCCAAGCCTGAGCCCTTTTTAGAGCGCAACAGCCGTGTAACCTGATGGACGACTTGCTGTGCTGTGCAGGATGCGGATGCCAAGGGTGAGCTGCAGGACCCGTTGCCCAGCTGGATGCGGGAGCAGTACCAGCTGCAGCCGCTGCTTCCCGCATTGCGAAGCGTGCACCAGCCAAAGAATGCAGTGCTGCTGGAGGAGGGGCGGCAGCGCCTGGCCTTCCAGGAACTGCTGGCGCTGCAGCTCAAGCTTTTGTTGATGCGGTCCATGGCCTGGTGAGCCAACGGCAGCAGTCGTTCGATGATGCAGGGGGCTGGGTGTCAGAGTGGGATGATCTGGCCTACTGCCCCTCTTTGCGCAGCCTGCTTCCCTTGACCTGGCATTCGTTTATCCAGCTTTCCTGGCTTGCCTGCAGGGCGGGGACGGGGGGCGGAGGAGTCGAGGTTAGTGACAGCAAGCTCTTGCAGTTGGCGCTTGAAGCGTTGCCGTTCGAGATGACCAACGGGCAGCAAGTGGCGTTGGACAACATCCTGGGGCAGATGGAGGGCTGGCCACCTATGCAGTGCCTGCTGCAGGTGGGTAGACCGGGTTAGACCCCAAGCGTGCTTGCTGTGTTGACATTTCTGCAGCAAGCTTGGTGCAACCCGGCAGGTGGTGACGGTATTAAAGTGTGGAGGGCTGACACAATTTGGGGCGGCCCTATTGCTGCTGTGGCGCAGGGCGAAGTTGGGTGCGGAAAGACAATAGTAGCATGCCTGGCGCTGCTGGCGGCTGTGGGGTCGGGCTACCAGGGAGCCATCATGGTGCGCCGATGGGGCAGGGCTCTTGTTTGCCTCGAGGATGTGTGCGAAGGCTTGCATGGAATTGAATCTTTGTCCCTAGGGCTCCTGCCATGCTCCCTTTCTTTAAGCCCACACTGCAGCTACATAACACATTCACACCCTGCGTTTGCAGGCGCCCACCGAGATCCTGGCAGAACAGCACTACCGCAATCTACAGGCCCTGGTGCAGGACATTAACAGGAAGGCGGGCAAGGATGGCATCGTGGGCTTTAGGCAGCCACGCATCACACTGGTTGGTGGGAGGCTGTAAATGCTGCTGCCCTGGGGATCTGCGTCTCTATGTCCTCCCTCCCTTCACCCCTGCGCCCTTTGCGCGACCCCTGGCCGCAGGTGACGGGGTCAGTGCGGGGCAAGCCGCGTGCTCAGGTGGACGAGGGGCTGGCCAGCGGCAACATCGACATCGCTGTGGGCACCCATGCACTTATCAGTGACAGTACACATTTCCAGCGTCTGGGGCTGGCCATCGTGGATGAGCAGCACAAGTGCGCCGTGCAGCCGCTAGCCAGGCCACCGCTCTGTTGCTGCGAGCAACCTCGATGCATGCTTATCGGTTCAGGATCCTAATCAGACTGCGGCATTTTTCTAGCAGTCATATCTTCCCATCTTGCTTGCTCCGCAGGTTTGGCGTGGAGCAACGAGGACGGCTGCTGGCTAAGGCTTCCCCCGTGCCGCACGTTCTGCACATGACCGCCACCCCCATCCCCCGCACCCAGGCGCTCATTGACCACGGAAACATGACACAAGTGCTAATTCAGCAATTGCCTGCGGGACGCACCCCTGTACTGACCCGTATGCTGCAGGATGACAGCCCGGAGCGGCAGCAGGTGAGGTGGGCAGCTTGGGATGTTGTGCTGCTGTCAGAGTTGTGCGCACCGCGCCCTCGCCCCAATCAGGTTCGCGACCCTCACCCCATGCCAACAGATGTATGAGCACATTCGGCAGGAGACGGCGCTGGGTCATTTGTGCTACATTGTCTGCCCATTTGTCGAGACCAGCGACAAGTTGGTGGGTGGATGGGTGGTTTGGCAGAGCCTTCATGCATGGATGCCTGCTCGTCACCTGCACCCTGCAGACCAGCCCTGCGCCCATCCCTGCCGCCCATCCCTGCAGGCGGAGGTGAAGGCAGCTGCGAGTGAACTGGACCGGCTGGTCGAGGAGGGCGTGTTTGCACACCAGGACTGCGGCCTGCTGCACGGCCAGATGCCGCCAGATCAGAAGGACGCGGTGCTGCAGCAGTTCAAGCAAGGTGCCATCAAGGTGCTGGTCAGGTGGGTGCCAGGGCATATGCCCGTGCTGGACGCTGTGATGCTTGCATGCAGTGCAGTGGGGTGGGCATTGGTCATTCAAGCCTCCTTGCCACGGCTGCTTTGCGCAGCACGACTGTGGTGGAGGTGGGCGTGGATGTGCCGCAGGCAACGGTTATGGTCATCGAGCATGCAGGTGGGCAGGAATGGGGTGGGAGGACAGCTTGGGCGTGACGCATTGGGTCTGCAGAGTCTGTTACCCATCCAGTCTCCATCCACCCGTCCATCACCCCGTCCATCTTCACTCACCCAACCACACCAGTGCAGAGCGTTTCGGGTTCGCCCAGCTGCATCAGCTGAGAGGGCGGGTGGGGCGCAGCTCACGCCAATCCTTTTGCTATCTAGTCTATTCTGCGGATGCCGGGATCAGCGTGCAGAAAAAAATGAAGGTGCGCATCCAGGGTTACTGCAATGGAGACATGCAGCCATTGCAGTACATGGGGGCTGTAGCACATGCAGGGAGCTAATCAATATGAAGCTGCTGTGCCATCTGCAGGTACTGGTTAACTGCAACAACGGGTTTGCAGTGGCAGAGTGCGACCTAGAGCTGCGGGGCGCGGGTGAGGTGCTAGGCAAACGGCAGAGTGGGAAGGACATCAAGACAACTCTCAAGGCAAGCAAAGATACAGCTACTAATGTGCCTCTCTGTTCACGTCATCGGTTTCCAGGTGGCCATGTCCAGTTGTCTTTGTGTTGCTGCCCTCCCCGCAGGTGGCCCAGATCCCGGCGGATCGTGAGCTGCTGGAGCAGGCCCGGCAGGCCGCCATTGATCTGCTGCAGCGGCAGCCTGACCCGCAAGAGTGGCCTGACGAGCTGCGGGCTCAGGTGATGGACGACATGCTGCAGCTGGACACCCTCACCATCCCGAATCTGTCCTAGGTGCACTTGTCAGTCTTCAGGCTTCTATATCCCAACCATTGTTGCGCATAGCGCACCTCCCGACGGCCGGTCCAAAGTGTGTTAATTGAGATCTCAACAACGACAAGCGTGAGTGTCATCGCGTAATGCAAATCGGGCAGCCGCTGCCATAATGCTCCTCACTGCGCAAGCTCGCCCAGATAGATGGTTTTGTCGGAGGAGGCGGACCCGATGATGGGCTCCTTTGGGTGGAAGACACACTCATTCACGCTGCCGCTGTGCCCCGGCAGCTTGTACATGAGCGCACGTGTGGTGGTGTTCCAGATGTACACGCACCGATCGCCGCTGCCCGCCGTCACCTGCCACGCAATGGGGGAGTGGGGGTTGCAGAGCAGGCGTGAAGGCACACAGCCTGGGGAGCTCCCCAAAGCTGTGCTGGCAAACGGCTGCTGACGCATGATCAATGTACGACATGGGTGTGTGCGCAGATGCTGACTGGCGCACCTTTTCGCCGTCCGGGCTCCAGTCGCAGCGCAGCAGGTTCTTCTCAAAGGTATGCACGTGGCCCGCAAATACCTTGGTGCACCGATTTGCAGGTGCATAAGGCCGCATGTCCCACACCCTGCAGGTAGGCATGAAAGAGGCCAGCGCAGTCTGCAGATGTCGCCGAGCCCAAGGCAAACAGGACACCACCCGGGGGGGGGGCAGCATGACACTCGAGCGGCAGCCTGCACGTAGTCAGCCGGCTCATTGCCGCCACCGCTGCTGCTCATACAGTAAGCAGACAGCGGAAAGTCTTTGCTAGCCTCACCTCAGCGTATTGTCCATGCTGTTTGTGAGCAGGTGTGTGCCGTCAGGGGACAGCCGCATGCCAGTGATGCTGTCACTGTGCCCTGCCAGACTCACGCTGACTTCTTCACGCCGAAGGTCCCACACATTCACCACATTCTCAATGCCTGCCGTATAGATCTGATCGCCCGCCTCTGAAAAGGCGACACTCAATATCTGCATGGAGAGCCGGCAACCACGGCGTCACAAAGAGCCTGGCGAAGGTTTGGCAAATCCAAGTTGAGGTACGCATGGCAGGCACTCATTCCCCCATGCAGCACTCCCCCCGCCCACCAGCTCTGCATCACTGACACTCCTACCTGGTAGCGTTCGTCAAAGGTTTTGACTGAATTGCGTGCGCGAAGGTCCCACAGCTTTGCCTGGCAGTCGTCACCGCCAGACACCACCAGCGGAGGTCCTCTCCGCGCCGGGCAGCAGCTGTTCACAATGTCCTTGTGCTCCTGCAGCCGCTTCACCTCCGTCCCCGTCTCTGCGTCCCACACCCGCACCGTCTTGTCCGGGCTACAGCTGATCAACTCCTCACCATCCGGTGTCCAGTGTACCTCCAGCACGGCATTCTTGTGGCCTGCTGGCATGGCGGGGGTGCACGTCCTGGGCAGGCATGCACAACAGAGGCGAGCCCGGGCATCAACAACTGCAACCTCCCCGCGTCATCATCGTACCTTTGAGCATCATAAAGTTCTCGCACTCGCCATAGGTGCGCCACAAGAAGATGTGCTTGTCGTGCGAGCCCGAGGCAATCACGTCACCCTCGGCATTGAACCGCATTGTGAACACCTGTGCGCCATGCACATGAAGAGGGTTCAGCGCTCAGGCAGTGGAAGCGCACAAAGTGGGCATGTCCCAGAACTTCATGAACAAGGGTTGAACGCAGTGACTGCCAGAGTTTGCTGCCCATCGCACACGAGCAACTGCCGCCGCACACCACGTACCTGGTCCCCATGCCCAGTGAGCAACATGATTGGCGCCTGGAGTGCACTGGTACGGTCTGGCCCCTGCAGTGAAGAGCGCAGGAGCCCGAGAGTGGGCCACAGGCGCTGCCGCGCAGCGGCGCCTTCCCGCCCCACTCAGCACCTCAGCTCGGACCGCAAACACCAGGCGCTGCGGCCACTCTCTCCAAAGAGCTTGCCTGCTTGATTTCAGGCCGCTTGGCTTGGACCACGACCTCCGAGCCATCTGCACGCGGCCGCTTCACCGAGACCGCTAGCGCACGCTCATCCTGCTCTGCAGGACGTTTCAGGGTTTCCATGGACTGGTGCGCAGCAGCAGGTTGATCGTCCTCGGGCACCAAGTGGGAGTGCACTGATGCCGGTGTGTGCACCGAGCGAGCAGTGTGTGTGGAACCACAGTGGATTGAAGATTTTAGGGCTTGAGCCGGTAGATCTGTCGTTCCCTTGTGCCCGACCTGCGCATCACAGCATTGCCCCGCCTCTCGCAGGCCTTCATCCCCTTCCCATTCCTTGCTGCATGCTTCTCCTCGCCTCACACACAAACTGAAACAAGATGGGTATGATGGAGACAGGTACCACCAGCCGTGCGCAGCACCTTGAGCAAGGGCAACAGCAAGCGGGTGGGACCGCACTTGTTAGCGCCGGTTGAGCAGCTCCCTGGCCTGCTGCTGCTTGGCCGCCTCCTCAGCGCTGATGTACTGCTTCAGGAGCTGCTGCTTCTTGCTCTCAAGCACCTTCTGCTCAATCTCCTTCTGGTCTGGAAGCGGCACGTAAGCCACAAACTGCGTCGCCGTTGCCGCCTCCCTTGCCCCCTGCCCACCAGCATCTGCAGCGCCGCCCTCGGGCATGCCGCCACGCACGTCTGCAAACGCCGCCTGCCGCTCTGCCTCCTTCTCCTCCCACTCGTCTATCGCCTGCCGTCGCATGGGGGCCTCTGCCTCTGCCTCCACCTTCTCCAAAATGCCGTCCTCCTCGTCGCGGAACCCATAGTAGTCGGCATCGATGGCCCGGTGCATCTCGGCTCGCGTGCGCCGCACCTGCATCATGCGGTAGAGCGAGAAAAGGCTGGGCAGGACGACAGCTGGGGTGAGCATCGCTTAGGCGAGAAGGTGGGGCAGTGCAGCGGCGGCATGTGCCCGGCCAAGCACGCGTGTGCATCGACAGCTGCTCGGCGTCATTGGTTGCAAGCACCGGGACAAGATGCAGCTGCGCTGCTGGCGCATGACTCTACCGAGCCCACAAGAGCGCACGCGCTGTGCACTGCTCGCTGCCTCGCCATTTGCAGGCTGCCACAAGCGCCTGCGCTTCTAACTTGCCTGTCGTGGCGCCTCCCTCTCAAACAGCTCCCGCACGCCCGGCAGCTGTTTGGCCGCACCAAAGTAGCGGTATCCGGCCCCGCGCCCAGCGGCTTCCACCAGCGAGCGCCCCTCGCTGTCTGTGACCTTGGGCCCGACTTTGGAGTAGTCGGGGCCACCCAGCTCCACTATCCGCCGCTCCCAGTGCCCCTTCTCCCGAATGAGCTTGTTGATCTCGTCATTCAGGTCGCGAATCCTGCAACAGCGAGGGCAGGGACGGCGTGATGCAGGTGCGGTGCAGGCGACGCAGGCGGCAAGACAGGCTGCGCCAAGCCCGCCAGCGGTGATGGTGCCAGCCTTCCCCTGCCCCACTCGCCCTACTGCCGCTGCATGGCCCTGGCCCCCACCTGTGCTCCCCAAGGCCCGCGTTCTGAATGTCCATGACCTTGCGCCCAATCTCGCGCAGGATTTGCTGCCGCCACTTGTCCGCCTCGTTCAGGTCGTGGCACTCGCTGGCCAAGTATGGTCGCTTCTCCCTGTCGCCTTTGACCTCCTGCTGCTTCCCCGCCAGCCACCTATTGAGCATCGACTGTGCCTTCTCCTCATTTCTCGCCATTTTGCCACTCGATGTAAACAGAACACAGAGGTGGATCGAAATGGCAACGATCGGCGAGTGAGGCATGCACCCCAGCCTAGTCAGCTGATTTTTTTCTCTCTTTGCTTAGACGCGAAACTTCTCCCTCTCTCTGCGCAGACGAGAGTCTGTGATTATAAGAGCAGAGCCTATACCCATTGGCATTTTTGCCACGCCCAGAAGGGGCCTTCCCTCCTTCTCGGTTGTCTCCCTCAGCTCTGGCAAGCATGAATGCACGGGCCTCCGTGCTGATGAACACACAGCTGCCTGCAGCCCAGGCCCTGTGCTGCCCTGGCGGACCATTGGCGCTGGCGGCATTGCAGCGGCGGCGGGCGGGGACTTGCCGCGCACCGGTTCGCCCGGCACAACCCACAACACTGGCGGGCATGGGTCAGGCTAGGCGGGCCGGACAGCATCGGCGGGCCGTGCATCCAAAGTGGCGGCAGGTGGCGGCAGCTGCTGGACTGCCGGCAGTGCCTGCCAGCGCGTTTTGGCCCGCCCTGGTGCACGCATGGAACAGCAACCCTACAGCAGTGATGCTTGCGGCAGGCACCTGCATCCTGGGGGTCTCGCTCTCCGTATTCTTGCTGGCAGCCATACCCACAATGCTGGTGAGTGGATGGTGGAAAAAAGAGGGAGGCGGGCTACATTCACCTCCCTACGAATCTCTAAATTACTGAAAATGTGTTGTTTTTTGGGGGGGACCAAGTGTTTCATTTGCAGCTGCCTAACATCGTCTTTGAACCCCTTGGTGTGCACCACTCACACAGTCTTGACCAAACGGGTGCCGTTCGCTACCCTGCAGGCCATGCGGCGCAGCGCTCGAGCGCTGGAGTTGCTGCTGCTCACGGTGCAGGCAGAAGTGCCTGACACAGCAGCTACGTTGCGCTTATCGGGCATGGAGCTGGCTGACTGCATACAGGAGGTGGGGGCACTCAGGTGGGTGTTCCCTTGGAAGATTCATTGCAAGGAGTCGACATGCCCCATCCACCTCCTTCCTTGTGCGAAGTTTTGCTCCGTCCTGTCCCGACTGTCCTGCGGGGGATTCGCGTTGCTGCTCGCAACTGCACCACTGCAGCACTGACCTGACCGATGGCCTGCGGGCGTCAGCACGGGCGCTTGCCAGCGCGGAGCAGGGCCTGCGACAGGGGGCTAGCATGGCGGGCAAGGCGATGACAGGATACGTGCTGCCGCAAGCCAAGGGTGGGCCGCTGTGCCAAATCTGTTGTCGAGTTGCGCCTGCCTGCAGGGTGACATGCACCATTTTGCCTGCCACAGCCTGCCTACTGTTCTTGTGCAATCTGCCCCCTCATGGAGCGGGCTTAACTTGCGTGCTGTTCTGCACTCTGCTGGCTGTAAAACTGATTCCTGGCTGTGGTGGCCCTTCCAGTTCCCGCTGACGCTGCGCCTCTGTTCTGCCGCTCGCCTGCTCCGCTCCGCTGCCGCGTTTTCTGCAGACAAGGTGGAGGCAGCGTTGCAGGAGCGGGCGCGGCTGGATTACACTGCTGCGGTGGTGCGTGACACTGTGCAGACGACCAAGACGACGGCGCAGCGCTTGAGGTTTGCTCTGGCCACCAGCGGGCTGGCGAGGGGTGTCCTGTACTCCGCTCAGTACTTCCGACGTCCCCGTCGCGGCGCCCGCTGATTCGTCATGTGTGTTGCAGTGCGCCTGGTGTCACTTGTGTTGCAGTCGCGCCTCACCATGCATGCCGTGCCTGTTCGTGCCTGTTGTGACCGCGGTTACACTCACAATCACAGTTGTTTAACTCACCAGTCACAGTTGCGAGCGTCGCCGCCGTGGCGGCGACGCTCCCAGAACCCTAGTGCCGCCGCCGTCGCGTCCTGCCCGCGGTGCGGCTCCCTGTCATGCTAAAACCAGAATTCTGGATGCCATTCGATGAGTAGTGATAAAAAGTAGTTTCTTCCCCAAAAGGGCCAAGGCCTGCGGTCTCTTCATGGCTAAGGGGGGGCCCGCGAGCCATTTCTCCGCCAAATCTTTTCACCATGTGCATCGTCTGAGTGTGCCTGACTCCAGGCTCTCATCTTGCGGAAATGGCCTCACCCTTGTCAATAGCTTCGGCCGTGGCGAGGCCGGGGGGCTTGAGCAGGGCCTGGGAAGACGTTCAGAGAGGGCGCACAGGGCAGTGGGCCACTGAGGTGCGCTGCTGCAGGGCTCAAGCGAGAAAACCGCTGCACCCGCGGCGCCCATCCCGCGCTGCTGAAACCGCCCGAATTCCCCTGCCCACAGCCCAAGGCCATCCGCCCGCGGAGAAGCTGGGCGGACCTCGAAGAGCCTGCCTCTGGAGAGCTCAACGCCGGCAGGTGAGCTTTGGTGCATGCTGCAGGGGTTCCATGCCCCCGGCCAGGTCCCCCTGCCTGTTGTCAGCGCGGCACACGCCGGGCCGAACCGCCGCCCCAGCACCCCCCACCCCCCAGCTCAAAACTGGCGCCGACCGGCCACCACAAGCGGGCGAGATCGTGGGTCGGTGTGCTCAGCCCAGTGCCCCAACCTGCCATGCCCTCTGCAGCACCACCATGGCAGCCACCGCCGCTGCCACCAACAGCAGCGGCGCCGTTCGCGATGTTGACCCAGCGGGCCTGGAGGCGGGCCTGGCAGAGCTGCGCCGCTTGTTTGCATCAGAGTGCTCCCTTAGCACCTCTGCCCCCGGGTTTGGCGTGTCGCCGCCCGTGCGCTCCGGTGCCGCCAACGGCCTGGTGCACGACTCGCTGTGGCGCCAGGAAGCGCCTCGCGCCTGCAAGGCCAGCCTACGTGCGCTGCACGAGAGGGCAGGTCCTCGCTGCCTCTCTTCCTGCGCAGGCGACTATCGCCTGCTCATGACCAGCCCCGACCAGGGCCTGCAGCTGCTGGCCGGCGCAGTGGAGGGTGAGGATGCCGACATGGAGGTTGCGCCCTCCGCTGCCTCCTCCCGCTCGATGGCCAGCAGCCGCGCATCGCCTGCGGTGCCTCTAGGGGGCTGGCAGCACGCCCACTGCCCCTCTCCAGAGCCCACCGACTTGTTCAGCTACTGAGCAACCGAGGAGGACCCACCCCACGCGCCCAGCGGCTGAGCTGCTGGGTTGCACCAGCGGAGAACGCAAACCCAACGACCGCAACCCGCCTCCCCTCACCTACGGTCTCGCCCGCAGCCCAACCTTGTGTGCTCCTGCCACCCACCAGCCATCCAGCCAGCCCCCACAGGCCGGCTGGAGGCTAATGTGTGCGCACCTTGCTTGTTTTGCGCCTCTGCCATCGGCAATTCAGTGGCACCCCCTCATGATGTTCTGCAACATATGTTTTTTGGGGCCCAAATCACCTGACCGCGTGTACACCATCAATTACCCCTCCTGCCCCCCTGCCTACTTTGTAGCTGGCGCAATGTGCCGACCGCTGCTGAACTACTTGTGAACTAGCGCATTCATTTCTTGTGCAGCTGTGTGCAGCATGGCGCACGAACCCTCCGGTTGTTTGTCCCTCCCACCTCCCCCCTTTTATCTTGAACTTGCCCAATGTTCATCATTTCAGCCCTTCTGTGTGTGTGTGGCCCCTCGCTAGCCACTGTTTTGGACACTGCTTGCGGCTCCCAATGGTTGCGCCTTCCTGGATGACCGTCAACCGATCACTTGGTGTGTAACCCATCATTTGAATATGCATGAAAAACGTTGCTCACAGATGCATCGTAGGAAGAGGCGACATTGAGGAGGCTGAGGGAGTGGGATCGCAATCAGCTGGTGGCCCCTGCCGCTGCCAGTCTAGCTAGAAAGGAGCCCCACAGGCGTGCTGCGTCGCCGTTGACCTGCGCTTGCGCCAGGGAAAAATCACGCAGCACATAGCCCACCTCCACAGCTCGCTCACGCTGGAAGCGATCCACCTCGCCGGTCATGCGCTGCACGATGGTCTGGAGGGCGGGCACAGGGCGGCGGCAAGGGGCAGCTGATGAAGGTTCAGAGAGGCCTGGCTGGTCGATGGCAGGAGTCGGCCGGCAACAACCTTAGAGCAGAGGACCAAGGTTATTGGGCTCAGGTTGCCCACCCGTCCCCCAATCCACCTCGTATTCCCCTTTTGCCGCCTCGGCCCGCTGCTGCGCGCCGCTAAGGTCTCGCTCCGCCTCCGACACCCGCTCCTCACGGATGCCTGGCGTGCCACGCAGCTTGGCCAGCCGCTGCCGCCGTCCATCCACATCAACGCGTGCCTGCTAACCGGGGAAAGGGATGTTCATTTATGAGTGGACGTGCGCACAGCAGGCTCTGCACCCATTGATTTTCACCTTCCCAGCATCAGCTGCATCAGCCAGGCAACATTGCAAACCAGCCATTGATCTGCCCCCTGCCGCCGCCCGTGTGCGCGCGTGCGCCCGCCCCCCCCCGCCCCCCCCCCCGCTCTGCGCCGCACCTGTTGGAACACTGCCAGTGCCGTGCTGCGGTCGGCGCACACCTTCTTCACCGCCTTGACGCCCCGCACAAACTCCTTGAGTGGCGCCTCAAAGCAAGAGGCCAGGCTGGTGCTGGCCTTGGCACACAGCCGTGCTACCGCATCAGCACAGTCTCCCAGCTGCCCAAAGCTGTCGGCTATCAAGCCCTGCACCAACCGAAGAAACCACCAGGCTGGGTCAAAGGAAGAGGGAGGCAGCAGCGAGCTGGGACTTGAAGCAGACCACTCCTTGCAGCTTGGCAAGCAAAGTAGAGCATTGTCGAGCGAGGTAACAAGCACCAATGGGCCAACACAACTTGTTGCTTGCCTTGCTCCGGGTCTGAGTGCATAGCGAAGCACTGCCACACCGCACTCACCGACTCCTCGTATCGCCCTAGCGCCGTCATGGCCACCCCAAACTCCCGCACCGACTCCCCCAGCTCCGCCTGGTGCCGCACCAGGCGCGACGCCTGGCGGTGCACCTCGCTCAGGTGCCGCTCAAGCTCGTGTACATACGCCCGCAGCTACACAGAAATGCAGGATACGCCAAGGCAGCCAGCGAAATGGGTGGCACGAGCGAGCGGTGGTGTGTGCGCCCAGTATCCTATCTCCAGAATGCTAGAGGTTGGGACAATGGGGTTGGATGCTAGGGACTAGCCTGCAGACCTTGCCCACCAACCTTGAGGTACTCGACATCCTCCTCCTCATCGTCCGTCCTCTTATGGTAGAGGTTGGACGCGGTGTGGCCCAGCTCGCGCAAAAAGCTCACAGCACCCGTCAGTGTTATCTTGGCTGCGCCCTGCAGGTGCACTGGCGCCAATTGGTGTAATGGGAGGTGCCCAAGCAAGGCTGCAGGACGCACAGCAGAAAACACAGTCAACCGCACTTTCAGTGCAGCTCATTCAGCAAGGGAGGTGAGGCCCCTGCTGTCAACTGCATTCGGCCCTGCCCACCTGCGTCACAGTCGAGTCGTCCACCTGGCTGCGCGACACCTCGATTGCAAACTCCGTCTCACTGGCCTCCAGGAACAGCTGAAGCTCATGGCTACCCTTGAGCGCTGGGTGCGCCGCCTGCAGGGGGATTGAACGAGGTAAGCTGACAGCGTGATGCTGCTGCTCTCGATGTTGCACAGCGCTGTCCATTCTGCCACCCATTCTTCCAATCCACCACAACCACATTCAACTACGTACCACTCTGTTGATGAAGATAGTGAGTGCTGCCCGGCGCTGCTCGATGAATTCGGTGGTCATCTTGTACTTCTCCACCACATTCTTCTCGGGCAGCGGTGGCACGATCACGCCTGAGGCGGCCGGCGCGGGTAGGGGACCAGTCAGGGATCTATCACAGCACCGGTCAGTCCAGCAGGAATCTGCTACAGATGCGGCCCAGCAACATACACCCCAGCCCACTTACCCCGGAACTCGTGACGCAGCCGCTTCTGCAGCCATGTGAAGTCGCGAAAGCGGCGGATCACCTCCGCCTGATCGCGATAGCCGGCAGCAGTGGTGCGGGTGATGACCTTGTATGATACATATGCCTGCCGGCAGGAGTTAGTAGGAGGGGGGGGCAGGGAGCATTAGCAGTCGTAGCAGTCGTAGCAGCAGGCACCAAGCTCCTATTGCCAAAACCCAATGTTTGGCAAGAGAATAGAGCCTGAAAGGCTAGAAGCACGTGGGCAGACCAGGAGGGGCAGTGCCTGCACGTAGCACTCACCGCGACCCCCTCGCCCTGCCGCACCGGGTCCATCACTCGGATGTCAAAGTCGGAGTTGGCTGGCACCTGGGGACAGGCACACGCGCACACCTTGACCTGAGATACCTTGGACAACTTCTTCTGTGGCTTTCCGCATAGAGGCAAAGCCGTAGCTGTGTGATCCTTCCGGGAACCGTTTACATTTGCAGCCGAGGGTCCTGGCCCTGAGTTGGCGGGCTTCACAAGCAGCCAAAGCTCACACACAGCTCACCCCATATGTCCCTGAGCCAGCTTGTCTGCCAGATGTGGTAGGTGGCTCCTGCACAAGGCACGGCAACTGTCGGGCAGAACAGCGGCAGAACAGTGAGGCGGCACTGCCCCGCCCGCCACTGCCGCCACTGCCGCATGCCAGGGCACGCCCCGGCTGCCTCACCACAGCGTTTAAAACAACAGAGTGGTACGGGGGAGGCTCATCAGCTTTAGCAGAGGGCTCGGCCAGCGGCGCCAGAGGCTCCTCGTCGAAGGGGGCGGGCTCATCGAGCTTCAGCGGGTCGCCGAAATCCAGGGTAGCCGTCATGGTGGTGAATCCGCAACCAGCGCTACAACCAGGCACAGCTGCCTTCACGGTTCATCTGCAGCGACAATCGTTCTGTATGCGTTCTACGGGGCTCACCTGGACAAGGCGAGAGCAAGCTGTGCTGATGAGCGCGTTTTTGTCCCTCACACGTCCCGCAGGTCCCTTCCACTCCCCAAGGCCAAGGCCAAGCACGAGCTTTCACTCTAGGAGTTACGACACATCTAAATGCAATAACTCGTGTTGACATATCAGATTGTTGATCAGCTTGTTGCCCCAGCTTGCTGACGGGCGTCAGAACGCATTTTGCAGGCCCTCCATTAGAGTCAGCTTGGACAGCGCCTGCTGCGTTGCACTGTTGATGTGCTGGCAATAGCTGGCCATCTGGTTGCTGAGCAGCATGTTGTCCAGCTGGTTAGGCTCCGCCACCGGCTTGAACATGCCCTCTGGCGGCTCCTCCGAAAGCGGCTCCTCGCCTGCGCGCAAGCACCAGGGAGGGAGCAGGACGACGCACACAGAAAACAGCCTGCTGAAAAATGCAGGAAGGCGGAAGGCAAGCTGCCTGGCGGCAGGCTTGCTACCCCGTCACGCAAGAGACTGGCAGCCTGGACGCCCCAACGGAAGCTAATAATGGCAGAACACACAAGGGCTGGCAACAGGCAGCGGGGCGGGGTGCGCACCAGCTGCACGCCGCGCCATGTTCTCCTGCCGCCGCTGCATCTTGAACTGTGCGATGGCCTGCTGCTGGCGGCGCAACTGGTTCTGGTGCATGCTCAGCTTGCCCTGCTCCACCATCAAGTCGTCCAGGCAGTCATTCAGGTACTCCAAGTTCTTCTCCAGCAGGGGTGCCACGCCCAAGTTCAACCTACGAGAAGCGAGGGCGGTGGAATGCAGTGTTTTTAGGCAAGACACAGTACATGGGGCTGGCAGCACAATTCAAAATGCATCAATGGCCATGCGGCAGCCCGGGCAGAGGCTCCAGGTCCGGTGCCCCCTGCATACCTCTCGCAATCCAGTGTGGTGGCCGCCGAGGAGGGCGCAATCTCTGCTGCCAGCGCCGCCGCCATGGTTGAGTTGTGCACAGTGATGGGGATCTCCACAAACATGTCCCGCCATGACAGCCCCTTGGCTCGGATCTTCTCTATCGTGAGCGAGCCTGCAGCACAGCACAGCAGACCGGGCACTCAGAATCAGACGTTTGTGCTTCCCTGCCCCGCTGCAGGGTTTCCAGGCGATTAGAGTCGCACTTGGTCAGCCTTACCCTCGCGATACGCCTCCACAAAGGCTTCTGAGAGGCGAATCGCCTTCAGGCCCAGCGCGCCGCCGGCCGCGGCAGTAATGTCGTACACGATGCACACACAGCGGTCCAGGCTCTCCATGTAGCTCACAAAAGTCTCAATGATCTCCACCACCTGGAACGACCCGCTGATGGTGGACTGGTACCTGGACATAGCGGGCAGGGAAGACAAGGAGTAAATTTGCAGCCAGCGGAGGGAGGTGTAAGTGGGGGATGCAGCATAGCGTGCTGCCAAAGTCTGTTGCGCCGCGGGCTGCGCCACCACTTGCACATGCCCCTGCATTGCGTGCACTGC